TTCATGGCCAGCGACAACACAGGTAACCTCCTCCATCCACTTATACTGCAGTCGAAACGAGACGCCTCCAACACTCACTCCTATTCCCTTCCTTAGGTCACGTGCACATACTGAAGGGACCGGCGAGGAATGAGCACGGAAGGATACACATCGTGCTGGAAACAGAGCTCACAGAAGGCCATCCGCTTCCGAAGAAGCCGAAAATGCTTCGAGTAAGACTGTGGAGGCGAAACCGGTGATTCGATTGGCAGCATTTAATGTTGTCGATGTTGTGTTGTCGGCTAGGTTGGGCCACTTGCACGGTAACAGCAAGACGATAGAGCTGCTCATGTAGACGATCCGTTGGAGTTGTGTGGGCTATGGGTGTCCACTGCCTCCTTGGCAATCATCAGCCTTGAAGGCGGCAGTCAGTTTTAGTGCCACGACTTTGGCTTTTGCAATACTATGTAATACAATGTGCTACGAGAAGGTAGATTCGGACATTGGCAAAGCTATGATGTGCAAGCCAAATGCCCTCCATATTCGATGCCACGCTTGTGACATTGCAGGAACAGTGTGGCACGTTGAAGCATCGCTTCACCGTGGAATAGGAGCATTGTCGAAAAGCGAGCAACCGATCTGCACGCATTTCCATCTACTTCTACTGACAACGTATTTGTCATGCGGCAATGTCCTCTTCTCTTTCTAGGTGCGCAGGGAAATCGCCCTACTCGACAACGATACCTTGACACAAAAGGTGTTTATGGCTACCGAGAAGAAGACTGACATGACTCTGCACACCAACATGATTTACAAGCGCTTGCCCAAGTTGCCTGGCAGTGGCGATCTTTAGTTCGCTTTGAGCAGCACTTCCCGCTGCATTTTTTCCATTCATGAGAGCAATATACTTGTGTAGCATCAAATGCCTTCTTGGATGCCTTGACGCTTTGCATTTTAGTGGAATTGCAATGTTGCGCACTATCAACGTGAGTGGAATGAGGTGTCAGAAAAGGTGCAGACACTCCAATTGTGCCAAATAAATGTTGTTGCTGTCGTCTAAGGATCGGCGATTATGTCTGTCGTGGGCGTAAACTGACTCGCCATTGTTTGTGTGACACGAGTGAGTCGGAGTTCGTGCGACTGCTGACACATCGCCACGCCGTAGCGACACTTTGGGCCACATTAAATGCACCTCCACAACAACGCTCGACTTGGGCTTTGACTGCGTGACACCGCGTTGCACATTACCTCAAGTAGTAAACCATGTTTGCGCGTCATCATGGCAACAGGTGGGAGAGCCCTCGCTGACGATACAGGTTGCTCTGTTCTTTGTGCATTGTAAACTCGGTATGCCATGAAAGGATGTGATTGCTAGTCGCAGCGACGAGTCGAAGGACAGGTGGTGACACTGCATGACATTCAACCTCACGGTAATCGTGACGCCATTCTTCCATTATGTGCGAAGTGGCGAGGTGGTAGACGGGTGTGAACAATAACAGTGGCACTTCCATACCCTCTTCGCCTTTCAGTTGATGAGGAGTTGAATTTCAGGCAGCGTTTGGCGCTGCACAGCAGACATCTGTGTGGTAAGGTGAATGCGAGAGTCTTTGGCTATGCAGCATTATCTGACGAGCAGACCCGCTATCGCATTGTCTGCCATCAAGACAATATTAGACCAACCCTACATAAGAAGGCGCGTTCTTCTTTGATTTCTAAGCACTGACTACAGGAAAATAGGTCTGCTCGCATAGCAACGCAGTCCTCGCCTTACTCATGGGCCTCAAACCGACGACGCCACGGCTGACGGTGCATTATTCCCAAACCCACTCACATAGCGGGCGACCGAGAGGTGAAGCGGACCAGCCATGGCAATCGCAGATATAATCAGCATTCGATTGTTCCACTCACTATCCACTCTGACGCAATACTATTTTGCATAGAGTCACATTCGACTGTCGTTTGGAAAGCCACCTTCCGTAAGTGGATGCCACACGAAGAATAGTTTATGTTCACAAGACAATGGACATGCAGTCTACCAAGCACCGTTTGTCGCCATGCCGGCACTCGTAGAAGTGTCACCCCCTCCACCACCACCACCACCACCACCAAATATCACATTCCACTTAGCCAACTTCAAAGCACGAGTTGCCATAAACATTGCAGGCACAATAAACACAATGGGGCTAGCTCCTACTGAGCATCACGCGATTTTGGACAAAACTGGTTGCTGTAGGCGTTTGCGACTCCTGAATATGGCGCCAAAACATCTGCAAACAAGCACTCGATTTAACTGATGGAGTGGTGGCAGTGGTGTGTTCAGCATTCCTTGTGCAACGAGAAGGTGAGGAATTGGCGAGTGATGGAGCAGAGGAGATGGTCCTATTGAAGAAGGGACCTTCGACGCCGTTTGCATGGGGTATGGGAAATCTCGCATAGCCCAGTCGGAATTGCTACCATATTACCGCAGCCTAACATGCCATCCCACCAAGGCATCGCATCAAGGCATTGCTGTGGAGGACAGCTTACACTCACGAGTCCACAAGCCCAAGTTAGCAGTTGGGCATCTGCCCATAGTCGAGAGTCAAAAAGGACCTGCTTATTGCATCACATTCGATGCATCAATATTGCGAGATGTGCCCAGCGTGGTGGAAGACATTGCATTTGTGCAGATA